TTCATAGAGACCACTTTGGAAATGATACAATTCATTAATTCTGGATAGTTGTATAGGAAGACCTTTTCTAGTTTATTTCTTCAAGTCTCACAGGCGGATGAACAAATTCTTTTCCGGGTACTAGCATGTCAGAAGACAAGGGAAATTTCTGGCTTGCTGGTATCATGGCAGGGAGTGAAGGCTGCAGGAGAATGAAGCAACTGGTAAAATTGTGTCTACGAAACAATAAGTATAGGTGCTTAGCTGTCTCCTTTTCATGCAGTTAGTAACTCAAGCCCAAGGAATGGTGCCATTCAAATTTAGGGTGGGCCTTACTAACCTTAGACAGACAGGTTTGTAGTTGGTTTTTTCTGTTTCTTTTCTTTTCTTTTTTTTTTTTTTTTTTTAACTTTTTGGGGGCCTGTCACCCATCCCAAATAAATACACGGAAACTTATTCATACTTAAGAATGACTGGCTTTAGCTTGGCTTGTTTCTAGCCAGCTTTTCTAACTTAAAGTATCCCATTTCTATGTTTTTTTTCCTCTGGGCTTTCTCTGTTCTACATACCTTGCTTTCCTTCTTACTCTGTGGCTGACTGTTTGTCTGGGTGGCTGGCCCCTGGGTGCCTCTCTCTTCTTTTCTGGAGCCTATTCATTTTCTCTGCCTGTTAGCCCCACCTATTTCTCTCTCCTGCCTAGCTATTGGCTGTTTAGTTCTTTATTAGACAAACTAACACAGCTTTACAGAGTAACAAATGCAACATAAAAGAAATGCATTGATGGTGCATGCCTTTAATCCCAGCACTCAGGAGGCAGAGGCAGGTGGATCTCTGTGAGTTCAAAGCCAGCCTGGGCTACTGAGTTTGTTCCAGGAAAGGCGTAAAGCTATAGGGAGAAACCCTGTCTCAAAAAATAAAAAAGAAAAAGAAAAAAATACAAGAAAAGAAATCAACACATCTTTGCATCATTAAACAAACATTTCACAGTATAAACATGTGCTTCATCATACTGAAGACAGGAGACCTCCAAATGGTTGTTCTTTGTGCCCGGTTCAGTTGTGCCACTGTCTCAGCTTAGGGCATGTTTCAGTCATTCAGCTTTTCCTATTTTGGAGGTTTTCCTATAGCTGGCCTCATGCTCATAGTTATCATGCCTCAGCCTCCTCAGAGCTGGGATTATAGATGCATATAACCATAGCCAACTATTTTCTCAGATTTTAAATGTTTGTATCTTGACCATTTTGCTTTTATTTTTCAATACTATAACTACCTGTATCTCTTAGTAACTTGCTCAAGTACTGTCACTTAGAAAGTTGCATTTGTTTTGATTCTTTGTTCGGTTGACCAAGAGTCCTTGTTTCACTGGACTTTCACTGGACTTTGAGCCTAAAAGTCAGTATTGCCCCAGAAAAACCAGGACAGTTATTAGTTGATAGTTGCCTGGCCCTTCTTTATTTTCTTTCTTGATTTCCTGTGTGTGTTTGGGGGAGGGGGTGGCGGGGGGGAGAGGTGGGTAGAAGGATTTCCTCTTATGATCCTGACCTTTTTGTCTTTGGATTTTTTTTTTTTTTTCATTCTCTTCTGGTAAATTTCAGTTTCATCTTCTAACCTATTACTGGGTTTTTGTGTGTTTTTTTTTTTTTTTTCACCCTAGCCTGCACACTTGCTATCTTATTTTCAAGAGATTGTTGTGTTATGATTCATTTTTTTCCCTATATAGACTCTTGTATTTGGATTAATGACATTTGTTTTTTGACTACAGTATTTTTCCATGCTTGAATATTATCTTTTCTAACTTAAGTATATGTATGTTTGCTAGTGTTTGATAGGTTTTGTTTGAAACTGGCAACTTTTCTTCAGTGGCTGGTGGTTGTGATTGTCTCCTCATAGTCAGGTGGAAGATAAGAGCAGAAATCTAATTTTTAAGCTGTTAGTTAGTTTGACTGAGATTTACTGCCTAATGATTGGTTGGACTATTCTGTAATGAAACCTCATCTGCTACTATTTTTAGCTTACCTTTTTTTAGGCTGATAAATTTCCCCAGGGAAGACTTAAACTCCTCTCTGAAAGTGAAGGTGTGTCAAATTTCTGAGGAACTTGAACCAAGAAGAGTTCTGGGGTTTGGGGTGGGAATATGACATATTTATTTCTTGACTGGTGGTTTAAATCAAGGATTTCTGTTATTTACATGTTATAAAATATAACATTATTGTGTTTCCTGGGTCCAGAAAGTTACCCACCTTCACAATTGGAAATATGCAGGAGATGTGTAAATTGGGTAGCTTCATAAACTTCCCATCATTCAATCTTTGGGTGTTTTTTTCTTTTTAAGTTTCTTTTTTTTATTTCTTTTCTCTTACCAGGCTGGCCTCAAAACTCCACACAACTCCCACAACTGGCCAATCTTTGGTTTTAATCCCAAATTGCCCCAGGGGTTCTTGACACCACCAGTTCCTGAGTCTTCAGTGTCTCAGTGCAGACTCAGTTCTAATTGGTTATCTCAGTTTTCTGCCTTTAGCATTTAGGACTGCAGTGCTTAATATGTTTGCTTTTCACTTGGAAAACTGAGTTGTGATTGAAGATCTTTCATTCTTACCACCTTTGTAGAATTATGTGTCAGGTTTTTTTTAGTCTTTTTTTTTTTTTTTTTTTAATCCAGACTTTTTTTGTGTGTGTGTGTGTGCATGTGTAAATACTTTCCTGTTTTTCATGACACTCGGTATTTCTTTGGGGGGGAGGTGAGACAGGGTTTCTCTGTGTAACAGCTCTGACTGTCTTGGAACTCACTTTGTAGACTTGGCTGACCTGGAACTCAGAGATCCACCTACTTCTGCCTCCCAAGTGCTGGTATTAACCACCATTGCCCAGCAGGCATTTCTTTTTTCTGTTACTATTTATCACTTATCACTATCATGTTATATAGAAAGACATACACATCTTAACATGACATTACTAATGTTCTTTCTTTTTTTTTTTTAAAGAACACAGCGATGTTCTTTTTTTTTTTTAAAGATTTATTTATTATGTGTACAGTGTTCTGCCTGCATGTACAACTGCACACCAGAAGAGTGTACCAGATCTCATTATCGATTGTTGTGAGCTACCACCATGTGTATAGCCCTGGCTGTCCTGGGTCTCACTCTGTAGACCAGGCTATACTTAAACTCAAGAGATCTGCCTTCCTCTGCCTCCCAGGTGATAGACTAAAGGCATACACCACCTCCTGGCTCTTAAATGATTTTCATTATAAGTGAAAGTTGTTTTGCTATTTTTCCTGTGTGTATATTGTATATTTATCTCCCTTGATTTTGAGTTCTTTTGGTTTCTTGAGACAGTTTCATGTAACTCTCACACTGGATTTGAAATTACTGTGTAGCTCAGGTAACTTCTTTCTGAGATAGAGCCTCATTCAGTACAGGCTAATCTTAGCATGTTCCACAAGTGACTGGATTTTTTTAAATGTTGACTAGATATGTTGTCAGGTCTGTTGCTGTGTACATAGAGTCTAATTTTGTTTCTGATTATGTAAAGATAATCTCTACTTTCTTTCATGAGCAGCAATTTTAACTTAATAGAAAAGGTGGAGACAACTAATATACTATTTTTAAAAATGTATCTGTATGTTTGAGTGTATGGAAGTGCACAAGGCATGTGTGAGCATGATCCTGTGGAGGCTAGAAGAAGGCTTCCCTGGAATTGGAGATAAGTTGGTTGCCATCTGTTTGTGAGTGCTGGGAACTGAATCTGGATTGCTGAGTTAGACCTCTAGTCCCCTAAATATCTCTCCCAGTCCCCTGATTGGTGCTTTAAGAACTCAAGTGTAGCCAGGCATGGTAGTGGTAGTGCATTTTAATCTTAGCACAGGGAGACAAGGCAAGTATCAGATCAGCTGGGGCTACATCATGAGATTCTTTCTTTGCGCCCCCCCCCCCAGCGAATTTTCACCTTAAAAGGATATATCCAAAACTTAAAACTTAATGCAAAATAGAAATAATAATTGTTCCCTGATAAAGCTCACTTTCATTTAAGTTGGTGCAGTAGTATTCAGAGAACTTTGGACTTGTTGACTTTGGAGTCTTTTCACTATTGAAGTTTTTGGTTAAATAGAGCCTCCTACCCAGTATACTATCATATATTGTATCATTGTTTATAGTGAAGAGAGGGGGTGGGTGGGTAGATGCTGTCATTGCCTCTTCATTTAAAATAAAATCTTGCCAGGCGGTGGTGTCTGCACTCCTTTAATCCCAGCATTCTGGAGGCAGAGGCATGCGGATCTCTGTGAGTTTGAGGCCAGCCTGGGCTACAGAGTTAGTTCCAGGACAGGCTCCGAGCTACACAGAGAAACCCTGTCTTGAAAAACAAAACAAAACAAAAATAATAAGTAAAATCTTGGTTATTAGAACTTTACTACTACCCACTATAAAGGCATTAGATAACTTTCAGAATAATTGCAAAATGTGCTGGGTTGATTTCTTCCCAATTATGTTCTAAAAATTGGTCATTCCATTAATCTTTAGCTCCATGTTCATGGCATAAATGAAATACTGTCTTGAGTTCTCTGTGTTCTTTTTGATTAGCCTTGTGTAAAGTAGCAAAAAATGTATTAAGGGGTAAAGTAAATGAGATTGAAAAATTCTCTCTCTCTCTTTTTTGTTGTTGTTGCTTTTTTTTTGAGACTAGGTTTCTCTGTGTAACAGTCTAGCTATCCTGGAACTAGCTCTGTATAGTCCAGGCTGGCTTTGAATTCACTGAGATCCACCTGCCTCTGCCTCCAGAGTGCCAGGATTAAAGGTGTTCACCGCCACTACCACCAACATTCAGAGAAATTGAATTCTTGAAGTACAGAGTATATACCAGGGAAATCTCAGAAGCTGGAGGGTAGAGGACCTGGGAAAGACAGGACTGCTACTGTGAGGTTTGGGTTGAGTGATTGGACTTATCCAACCCTTTAAAAAAGCCTACCAGCTGGATACTTCATTCATGATAACTTAGAAATTTCAACTTTTCTATTTCCCATATAGGTTTAAGAAAGTCTACCAAGAAGCGCAGTGAGTCCCCACCTGCTGAGCTCCCCAGTTTGAGGAGGAGCACACGTCAAAAGACCACGGGCTCCTGTGCTAGTACCAGGTAATTAATTTAGTATTTTTGAGTTCTTCTTTTGCTCAAGTGTTTCAACTTTTATCAAAATCTTTATGTACATCTTAATATTACCAAATAATTTTCCTTCCCCTCTTTGCCCTGCCTCCTCCCCTTTTCTTCTTATTCCTTTAAACCTCCATTTCCTCTCCCACCTTCTCTACCATTGCTATGAAAGGATCTCGGTTGTGTGCAAGGTAGCCAGGAATATATTTAATATTTTCTTGCCTCAGTCTCTCAAGTCATGGGATCACAGGGGTGTACTACCACACCCAGCCCAGTAATATATAGCAATGCAATTTACATATTAAATAAAACTAATGGAATAACTTGACATAACTTTATGCACACACACACACACACACACACACACACACACACACACACACACAAAATCACTTTTTTTTCCTAAATAGGTGGGGTGTGTGTGTGTGTGTGTGTGTGTGTGTGTGTGTGTGTGTGTGTGTGTGTGTATGTGTGTGTGTGTATAGCCCTAGCTGTCCTGGTACTTGCTCTATTTGCCAGGCTGGCCTCAAACTCAGAGATTCACCTTCTTCTAGAATGCTGGAATTAATGGCATGTGCCACCATGCCTGGCCAAAAAATAAAGCAACCAACTGCAACAACAAAAAACACTTTTTCTAAATGTATCAGTGCAGCAAACATATTTAGTGATTCTAACCATTCCTGTTGCAGTGGTTGGGCTGAGTAATCCTAGCATTTGGAGGAAGAGGCAAATAGATCTCTTGAGGTAGAAGCCAGATTAGTGTACAGAGCTTGTTCCAGGGCAGCAAGGGCTACAAAGAGAGACCCTATCCCATAACAAAGGAATGAAAAACATCAAAATGAAAGCCCAACTTTCATAATCAGTACCTCAAAGGAGTAACACAGACCATGTTACTTTTTGACACATTTTATACTTTTTCCTCTTTTGCAAAAACATTTTTACAGTTATTAGCAGTATGTAGACATTAGGTTGAGTTGGACTTAGTTTCTCCTCCTGGCACTCTGTTGGCAAAGGTAGGCAGATTAGTTAAAGGCATGACTGTTCTACGTAGTGAGTTCCAGGCCAGCCAAGACTATTCACAAGGTACTTGAACAGTCTGCCAAATAGATTTCTAGTGAATATCTTTTGTACAGATTAGACTTGTTTAAAGAAAGGTGAACTTTCCCTGTGATGTACTTGAACCAAAAAGATGTCTGTTTTAATGGTTGTATCACTAGGTGTGGTGGTATATACCTTGTTTAGAAGGAAGAGGCACTCAGATCTTTGAGTTTGAGGCTAGCTTGTTCTTCACAGAGAAGTCCAGGACAGCCAGGGCTAACCCCACCCTCCACAACAAAACAACAAACAAACAATCAAAAACAACCCCCAGCCTCAATGAGAGAGAGGAGACAGACAATTTTAGGTCTAGGGACTGAACCAGGGTGCTCTGGAAGAGCTGCCAGGATTAACTACTGAGCCATCTCTCTGCCTACCCCATTTTTTTTTGAGACAAGGTCTCACTATGTAGCCCTGACTGGGATTAAAGGTATGTGCTACCATCCTTGCTATTTATTTTGTAGCCAGATATCAACGCTTCCTCTTTTAAATATAGTTCGTTCTAGGAAATGGAGTAAAAAAACCATTAATGGGTCAAGTGATTTTTTAGTCTGCCTTATTTCTGTTCAGACTTAAGTAAGCAGATTTTTGAATGGCATTTGGTTCTTCACTGAGACAGTTCTGATCACTTTCAGTGGTTGATGATGATATAAGAAAAGAATTTTACTTTTTTTTCTTTAAAAATGGAGACTGGTCTTTCAATATATCCCTGGCTGTTCTGGAATTCACCATGCAGACCAGGCTAGCCTCAAACCCAAAGATCTGTCTGCCTCTGCCTCCTGAACTGGGATTAAAGATGTATGCCACCACGCCCAGATAGAATATGCATTTTGTTGTTAATAACCTGAGGATAAAAAACTTGTGTTCCCTGTCCCCCACACACATTTTTTTCATATTGCTTTTAAAATATCTAGAGTTATTATAACTGAGTGCTTTTGAGGTTTCTTAGCAATACCATTGAGGACTTGTGAGAAAATAATTAAGTTCTGCAGAGCTTTAGTTCCATTTTGGGATAAGTTTTCAACTTTTTTTAAAAGAATTTATTTATTGATATGTAAAGGTGCTTTAAGGGGGCCAAAGCTAAAGGATCCTCTGGAGCTGGAGTTTTAGGCAGTTGTGAGCCACGTAGATCCTGGGAGCTCAGAATTGATCTCTGATCTAGAAGAGTTATATGCTCTCTTAACTGTGCAGTTCCCCCTGCCCCTTTTAGTCTTAAAGAGTTATAGTCTTAATTTGCTGTATGTGAAGTCAGATAATTTAGTGTTAATATACTTTTCTTTTCTTTCATTGCACCCTTTTGGTACCCATGGCCATATGATCAGTGCATGTACAATTACTTTAGTATATATGGTCATGTTATGCACAAGCCATCTAGCATACTTGAATTAAACAGTCTTGGTCCACAACCTTTTATGAATTGTTAGGGTTTTTCTTAAGTTTTATGCTTTGGTGACTTAATGAGCTTGTGGGCTTCTTTCAGAGAAACAGTATTTGAGGGTAGCAACTTGTTACATACAGAGTGTTTAGCCTAGAATATTGTGAAAATTACATGTTGGATGAATTTGAATCTCATTTGCAGCTTGGTAATAAGTTAGGTTTGAATGAGTTCTTTACTTTTGAAGGAAAGATTAGTTAAATCCACTCCGGTTTTGAGAGTTTTTACTAAACAAACAAAAACCAAGTACCCGGGTAATTAAGAGCTTCATTTTCTTTGTGTTCCTAGACACTACTAGGTTGCAGTAATTTTTTCCCCCTTTCAGGAGGATCTACTTTTCCATGTAGCTGGAAGTGGTTAACGATCATGTCTGTAAAGATGACAACAGCTCCCAGTAACACAAAAGCTTGTACTGTGTGAGCTATAGATTGGAAGAATTTCAGATATACAAAGTCTTAGTGATTTTCTGTAACAGTTTTTATTTAAAAGGGAGAAGAAACTGGCTTTGTGCTGTATGAATTTGAGCTTTGTGTTGTCTATACATTGCTCCTCCTGCCTTGGTAATGCTCACTCTGATGACATTTCTCTATTGCAGTCGGCGAGGCTCTGGCCTGGGCAAGAGAGGAGCAGCTGAGGCCCGGCGGCAAGAGAAAATGGCAGACCCTGAAAGCAACCAGGAGACAGTAAATTCCTCAGCTGCCCGGACAGATGAAGCTCCCCAAGGAGCCGCAGGTAGACTGGCACTACTTAGTTCTAAGACACTTTCTTTTGTCTTACAAATTTATTTTTGGATGAATTTTCTTGTTTCCAAGTAAGGTTAAAAAAAGGGAGGGAATAGAATTATCATAGATGTTAAAATGAAATACCTTTTTTGCCCCTTATTTTGTTTTACAGCATAGATTGGGTGTTTTTGATTAGTGGGTTCGTTGCTATAATTTTAATTATCATCCAGTCCATATATTTACTAATTACATTCAGAGGGCTTCATAGGAAGGTGTAAATTTTCCATTTAAGGTTTTTATATATTGACCAATGTGTATGAGTTGACTAACAATTGTTTTAGTGAATTTAAATTCAAATAAAAATGTAAGGATGTACTTAAATTGCTTTGTAAGCATATGAATCTTAGCATTTTGTAAGCCCTAAAAATTTACTTTGTTGTGAATCTACTTTAATAATAGTATTTAGATTTTTATGGGCTTTTAATTTTTTTTCTTGATAATCTTTGGATGGCAAACATTAAAAAAGACATTTTGTTCTTCCTTTTAACTTTTAAGTATTTGTTACCATTACCAGAATTGTGACAAGTGAATTTTAAAATCTAGTGTGAAATTACTCAAAACAAATATACTGTAATTCTTCATTATGAATGTGTATGTATTTCTATAATCATGCTATATCAAATTTAGTTGCAAAGCATATATGAACTTTTGAACAAATCTCTATTATGTAGTGTGATTTTAATATTAGAACATACAATAGTTTTCTCTTATGCCTGTGGTTGGTCATTAATCATTTTGCTGGAAAGGCCTGGTTACCCATGATTACTGTATTCTGCTTAGCTAGGTTTATTTTGAAGTCCTTACTGTATCCAAATTTTTAAGAAAAATTATAGACCTTGGGTGCCGGGCGGTGGTGGCGTACGCCTTTAATCCCAGCACTCAGGAGGCAGAGCCAGGTGAATCTCTGTGAGTTCGAGGTCACCCTGGCCTACCAAGTGAGTTCCAGAAAAGGTGCAAAGCTACACAGA